AGCAGGTTAAAAATCCATTTTTCATTTTTTTAACAAAATGAAAGTAACCAAAAATCTTTCTCTGGGTAACACAATGTTCTCAAATCAAAATCAAAACATTCTATTGTTCTTATATTATTCTGCTCTCTCAAACATAATCACCTAGGTTAATTTTTCAATAAAATTTTTCTTTCAAATAAAAAAAGAAAGAACAACATTTTACCCTAACAATTTTCAGCTACAACACTTGCACACATTCAACATTTCTCTCACAACCTTTCTTTGTTCAAGAATTTTGAAGCCTCCAAATACCTCTTTTCTATATAATTTTGTGTTCACTGGAAGATTTCTATCATCTTTTACTTCGAACGTTCTCACCATAAGGTTACACATGCAATGAGAAAGACAAAAGATAAAATTCTGTAAAAGGAAGAGATTTTATTCTGTGAAGAATTTATTCCTACCATTTGGTTTTCTTTCAAGCCAGTCCTCTTCCCTTTTTCAACACATTTTTGCTTATTCTATGCCTCATTCACCATTTCAGTTATTACTCTGGCCTTCATTTGCTCTCTTTTACTAGCACTACCCATACTAATTAATTAGTATTATAATGATACATAGAGGCATTCTAGGCAAGCCTCACCATATACTGTCTCGTCTACTCTGGATAGCTCACCTCTGGAAAAAACTGTAACAAAAAGCAAGGATGTCATGTTGCAGGCAAATACCACAGGTGGACCATGGTTAATGCTGTTGATCTGTTCTCACACGTTATTAAGGGTGAGGTCCCAGTGCCCCTTAGAGCAGTATTTTCTGTCCAGTCACTAGAGGGTTCTTAGGGAAACATGGAAGAGGGGGAGTATGTTTTTGACTCTTCCCACATACTCTCCCCAAGCTCCAGCAATCTTCAGTCATGCAGCTCTTAAAAGCAGTTCTAATGACACCAGTGTGGTATTTTATCTCTGGCCCTAAATGTTCTTGGTTTTCCTACAAAAATTTTCATTTCACTCTCATCTGCATGAAATCATTGCCATTTTGCTTTCTCAGATATGATGTTCTGAAGTTCAAAAAACACAAACATCAGATTATGCATATTATGTAAAAAAATATCACTCAGATAAATAATCTAAAACTAGGGAGTATGGAGAAATGGTGCAAGCCCCAAGACTGTTCTATTCTATGAAACTGGCAGGTAACTAGTTAAAGAAGTATAAGTGTTTAAGAAACATTGCTACATATTTTTCTGATTCTTTAAAAGAGAATCCATGCTCTTGCTGCTATAATTCATGTAACAAAAAGCTATTCCAGACACTGCATGCATCTTATTTTTTTTAATGGCACAGTGAAAAACATTCATTGCATGGTTGAAAAGGAGAAAATCTGCATCTGTGTATGAAAGCAATCAATTCATTCCACTTGTAATGAGATTTCTCCTGTCACTTCAGTTTGATTGTTTAACTTTACAATCACCTCCCATGCTGTTTGCAAAAAGAAGAAAAAGAAATGGAAAAGAACCAAGAGCTAAGCAAATCAACATGACTATGCTTAATCTCATCACTACCTGTTCTGAAAAATGTATTTGCATATTTATAATACTATATTACTACAGGAAAGACAACCTTTAGTGGCAGCATATAAACCAGCAAGACAGTGAGAGCTCAACCTGTTCCAAAAACACATTAGAAAATGGTTGTGCCCTCACACTGGGCACAATTCTCAGTGGTCATGGCTATGCTCATTATATTGAACAATACCTTCTCTATGATTTAAAAATACACGGTAGTTCTTCAGCTAATAAAGACTTCAAATTTTAGCTACATTTTTGCATGCCAAATCAAGGGTAAGAAGTATTTAAAAGGCAGCAGCAGCATCTGCTACGCCTAGTGGATGGACTTTCACATCTCATGACAGTGCTTGTCTTTCCTGTCAGAATACCGTAGGATCTTTCTCCTGTTATGGAACACTAAATTTCTGTTGAGCAAGTGGCATTAACTTCAGCACAGAGATTTAAGTACTCACATTAGCCACTCTGGAAGAATCATAAGTTTTCCTTATACCCCAGATAACATTGCACAAAACTGATGCAGTTATCCTTCAGCATCTCTTCAATAATTTCTAACACAACTTTCTGTGACACATACATTAGCTCTGTGGTATTTTTTGCATAATTGGAGCTGTTCATAATATACATTTTAAGTAAGTTGCATTGCCTTTTCAAATTAATCTGTCCTGTTCCCACACCGTAAGCACAGCGGATACTCAGAAATCTCAAGTCACTCAATAAGCATTCCCTGTGGCTCTGGAAGGAACAGCCTAAATAATTTAGTCTCTAAAATTTACCCACAGATTTCTTTAAAAAAAGATAAGGAAATTCTGAAAAGCAGATATATCTCCCTTGACAGAGGCAGCTTCCCAGACATGGAAACTGCCCTTTCATATGACAAAAATTACTGATTATGGCCAGAGTGGTTCACTGTTGAGCCAAGCACTTCCCTATTGTTATTTTGGCACTGAAAAGCCTCGTATCAGTGGATCTGTTCTTTTTGAACACTTCAGCTTCCAGAGCTTGAGGGCATAAATGTATTTAATACTTTCCAGCAGAAATTCTGTTTCTGCTGCTCTGATGCAGCTCAGCATCCAGTTGCACTGGACTGGAGGGGACTATTATGATTCAGCCTTAAGGAAATTCTAGTTTACAGAGAGAAATGACAGAGATTTTTCTTGAATATTCCTCCAAAACAAAGATTCATCAGCCAATATACATAACCTGATTTCTCATATGGTACAAAATAACCGCAAAAACCCTCCAGACTTTGGTAATTCGCATTTAAATCAGGAAAAAAGTACTGCAAAAATGAGACTAGTTGGCTTTTTTTATGACAAGAAAACCATTTTAACCAGAGTAAGTTGTATTTTGCTTAGCAATGTAGCAATTCACACCATTATTTATGCTCACAGTCAAACTTATTTTCTCTACATTTTACCAGTATTTCAAATTAGAACAGCTTCTCTGAAATGCTAATTGTAATTATTACCCATCCCAAGATCATTCTCACACTTTTTTGCTTAGAACTGGTAACAATGATGTACATGGATCAGATAATCCCTATCTCTCATTGTAATTGCATGGGAATTTTGTTTTCTTTTGAGTCAGTAATGTCTAAATTGGATTAAGATAAGTCACTTATAAGCCATTCTCTACAAAAGTTGCTTTCATGACTGCAATATTTAATGCCATCTTACTCTAGAACTTAATTTTTTACACCACCCTCATATGAATGAGTTTCCATGAAGTTCATACTCAACTTCAGACTATTCTTAAGGAATAAATACTCTATGAAGAGGAAAAAAATATACCCTAAATTATGTTTTTGATGACATACTCATGAGTAAATGTAACAACAGTCACACTGGAACTCTGCATTATCATGAGATGAAATTCAAATTATATGATCAGAAGAGTGACCAATCTCAAAATCAGAAGACTTAGTCTATCTAATAATGTGTGTTTAAACATCTTTACACTCCTCTGTTTGGACAATTGCTGTTCTTGGCAATAATAATCTGAGTGGGTGGCTGAGAATAGAGCTAGCAGATGTAGTACTGGTGTAAATTATTGCTACTTAGCAGCACATGCATTCGCTTATCCAGGGAAACATTTCTTATAATTCCACAAGTTAGCCAGAAGTAATTAAAATATTTTACCTGTCAATACCTGGAAAAAAATCGGTAGCGTATTCAAGATTTATCTTATAATTGTAACTGAATTGTCACTGTGGTCAATGTCACAAAGAAAACTCTGAAAAAATGAAATACGTTCCGTGTGCCTAATTTGTCTGTTTTGTGGATTTTTTTTCAATATTGCAGTTGGAGACCTCATAATGCCTATGTGACTGCTGATACACATTACCAAGACCAAATAATGCCAACCATAAAATTTTGATTAGTTTTTTCTTTATTCTGGCATGTTATTGCTTTCATTATTTTAGCTAGAGAGATGAATGACAGAGGCAACAGACAGGAAAGCAAAATACTGCTCAAAATTACTGAAAGCCATATACAGTTAAAATATAGTGAAATTAGCAGTCTTTATTTCTGTGTTGACTGCTCTTCTACAGAATGTAAAGGAAGACATCGCAACACAAATAGTACTTGTTCTTTGGATCATATATATATATGAAGTTTCCTTAATGTCCTGGTTTGGGCTAGGATAGTTAAATTTTTTCCTAGAGGTTGGTACCCTATTGTGTTTGGGATTTAGTAAGAGAATAATATTGATAACAAACTAATGTTTTGGTTGTTGCTAAGTAGTGCTTAAGTCAAGGACTTTTCAGTTTCCTGTGCTCTGCCAGCGAGGAGCTGCACAAGAAGCCAGGGGGGAGCACAGCCAGGACCCAAACTGGCCAAAGGGGTATTCCATACCACAGAACATCATGCTCAGTATATAAAGTGGGGGCAGGTGGCTGAAGGGCAACAACACTTACCTGCAAATTATTACTCAGGTGCATTAACCAGGCTGTGATTCAAAACTGCTTTTTTTTCTTTTATCTACAGTGTATTTTTATACACATTTAAGCAAAACATCCACTTTTTAATCTTCTTTTAGAACTATGCCCTGGATAAACAGCCAATATTTTTTAAAAATCTGATCTCTAAAGAAACAGAAAAAAAGAGAAAACCTATTTATGTATACCAATATTACAGCAGTAATGTATACAAGCTGCACTTTCTCAGGAAAAACAGACTTCTCTCAGAACAAGTGAACTTTAAGTTGGTTTCTCTTTTAGGTGAATTATTTAAATAACAATGGTAATATAGCAACTGTGGAGATCTAAGCAAGGTTGGCATAGTAAGAGAAAAATTATATTTAAGCAATTGATGTAACTTGGTAAAAAACAAACTAGCCATGGAGTCGAAGTCTATTATAGGCCTTTTAATTGAGTCATTACTAAGTAGACAGTATAAAACCTAAAGCAACATATGTTTCAACACTAATTGCAACCAGAATCCAGATACAGTACCTTAGCTTTATCCCTCATGGATCCTTTTCCCAGGATGGACATTTTTGCACCTGTTTCTTCTTGTAACCTCTTTAAAGAGTTTCCTCTTGGTCCAAGCAATTTCCCAACAAAATTGAACTACAAAGCAAATAAGAGAACTCTTTTAGACCAACAGGTAATTTTCCAAAAATTTAATAAATCTTTATAAACAAATGGATTAAAAAAGAAAATTTTACTTTCCTTTAAAATAAATACTTCTACTTAGCTCTGAGCCTAATTCATGGGATACAAGACTGGAGAACCAAGGTATCCTCTTATCTAGTGTGAAAAACAGTAAAAGTATTCATGGTTTATTTGAAGTCCAGGAGGCTTCTCTCTAGGACTAACAGGTCAGTGGTTGCTTAAGTTTAGCAACTGCTAAACAAGAAATTTACTCACGAGATGGTCCCGGTGAAATGCAGTGAATGTTTAAGTTTTTTCCCAAGTCAGCCAGCTTTATTGGCAAGGAATATATTCTGAAAACTTAGAGCTTTACGTGGATTTTTAGGAATTGATGCTTCGCACATTGAGTTTAAAATAAGCATTGTTTTGTGTATCAGTTCAAATATCTGTTTTGCCAATACCAGAACAAATCACAATCAATAGATCACAGTAGATATTCATGGGCATTTTCTGAGAGGATTTTGTAGAACACTGGGCTTTGCCTGCCACACTGCTAATATTCTTAAGCACTGGAGACTTGATGTGACACATAAAACACTGGTTTTTCTGTATGAAGACATGTCTACATGAAAATCAGAGGACAGAACAAAAAATAAATGAGGTGTTAATGTTATGTTGACACAAACTATCAAAAAGGGGTGAGTTTATTCAGTAATTTGTTTATTCTGTAATTAACAGTCTCTTCAATTTATTATTTTTTATTATTTCCAACATCTTTTAAAAATTCTACGGTACGTTGTCTTCGGAAGTTGACTGGGAATCGTCAGCACTTGCTTAAGATGTTTCTAAATTACGTTCAAATCTGAAGAGGCAGTATTCTGATCTTACAACTTTCACCAAAAAATAAGCCTAGCCAAGGAAGAAGGAGTGTAATTGTATCAGGACTTCCTTGAGTTTTTTTCAGAGACAAAGAACATGACAATAAGAAATACAAATGAGGAATATGCTGCTGACCAAAATACTCACAAATGTCTAAAAAGATGTTATATCTTGTTTTGCATTACCTTCTGTTTTCAAAATGGAAAAAATGGGGAAATATTCTTGTTTCCACTTTAGCCAGAAGAATGTAACAACACAAAATGCACCAGCTATGTTAGTAACACCCAAGCTCTGAATCACACCAGATACCCCAAACCCCAAGCTGGCTTTCAGTCCAGTGTCCTAATTACAAATCACTTCCTTCAAATATTGGTTAGACTATCTAATAAAATCATATGTAATCACAGGAAAAATAAATACATAAGGTGAAATCTACTGCCACCTAAACCAAAATAACTGATTTCTGCAAGATAACGTGTCTATGGGGGAAGTAGTAAGTGCACGAAAATCCAGCAAGCTTTGAAATTCCAAAACCAGATTTTTCAAGCTTGTGTGCTTGTACTTTTTTCCAGTTCTACCTGTTGACTTAATAAAAGTTATCAACTCTTCAAAATGGGGTAGGATTTAGAGATGATGTGGCTATCAAGGTATCAACAATCCTGTGTCTTCAAACTATAGTAGCTATGCTTCTGCCAGGGAAAACTTGGCTTAGAAGTTGTTGTTGGCTTCAAATTGATTATTAAATTTTGTATGAAAATAAAACAAACACTGAGAAAGAAATGTCAAGGACTGAATTTTGACTTTAATAACAGACTGTAGACTTAAACTATTGATAGAAGTAAGATTTCAAAAATTACATATCCCATGTACACAGAGATTTTTCAGAGATGGCTGAGCAAAGAGCAAAGCTTTTGTTTCTCTGTAGGGACTCCCTTATACGCAGAAATGGGGGATGCCACTACTTACAACACCAAATTTTTTGTGCCACTTATACTTCACCCATCAGGCAAGAACCATGTCCTACTGTATCGTTTTAATGTCTCTTAGTATTAAGAAAAGTTGCCCGTTGAAAGCTGAAAGAGCTATAACGGTATGTAAGTTTGGAGGAAATTATGAGGAGGCCAGCCAAAGCTTGACTATGTTTGTTCCCTGAATGGAATAAAACTATTAAAATACACTCTATGAAGATTTATGTTGACCATTTATATTTAAGTACTTCATAAACTGTCTAATCATTACTTTGACATATTGCTGCAAAGGAGTGGTATGGCCAGCACAAACTATGTTATGTACTAAGTGGATTTTAATCACTTCACAGGAAATAAGTGGCTGGGGATTTTAATTCTATTGATTATACAGCAGACAGGCACTCACATTTCATCCACTATCTACAAAACACATATCAGGAAGCAAGCAGTTATTTACAACTGAAAAACTGAATTGTTCTTAGTTTGGTTTTGTCTAAAGTTGAAGAAAAACCAGGGCACTATAGCAGCCGTTCTACTGTTGTGCCTGGTATTACCAGTGTCAGTTTGGGACCACTGGCTATCCTCAGTACCATCTATAATCACAAAACTCCCCAAACTCTGAAACTACTGATAGAATAAATTTGACTTAATAACTTGTGAAAAATTATATCCTTTATATTCACATATAGGTAAAACCAGCCCATAAGAAATAGAAAGTTTTAGTGAACAGCACAAACTGTAAGAAATTTGAAACACAACTTCATTCCTTTTTTTTTATTAAGATATGCTGGACAAGGACCTGAGTAGAACCAATTTTACTATTGGAAGTCTTAAGCTCCAGTTACAGCCCCACACATGCACACACAACCTAGGTAGTATAGAGACAGTGAAGAAAAACATGGAAACTCAGGCAGTTCGACTGCATTTAATGATGAGCCTTGCCCACAAACACACTCCTGGTACAGCAGCTGTAACTGCAGATCTTATAATGCAATCTCAGTTCCAATCCAATTCTGCCATGTGTACAAATTTTCTCCAAATAATAGTAGCTCTAAGTCTCTGGGATAATATCTGGTCATATTAGGAGAGGATAGGTGAGAAATGCTGATATATAGAAGACAGAGTATTAACAGAAAGCTTTCATTGCTGGGGAGCAAACTGACTTCCACTTGAAAAACATGGTTACTGTTGTGATACTAGATGTTTTTACAGGAGACTTAACTTTTCAATCTTGTTTATGAACATGAGCTAGGCTTTCTGTCTTCTTGCAGAAACCCTTCCTGGTTTATGAAAAAGATTTTGTACATTATTTTCTTAGATTTTTCTATAATTTGTCTGGGAGAGAAGATGCATGCCTTCAGAAGAAAATGATCAGAAGAAAGCAGGAGATGCTTCACTTATAATCAAATGCATATGATGTTCCATGCGTCAACAACTGTGCAATAAACCTTCTCCTGTGCAAAACAAAACCTGACAGACAATGTAGCTCAATAGATCTTTCCAGTAACTACAGTCAAATCTCCCCAACATCTTCCCCAACCTATACATACACACAGTTTCACTAGATTTATCTGCATCCTGATTACTTTCACACTTCACTCCTTACAAGCAATCAGACTGTAAAGGTGCCCAAAGCCAACACTCCAGTTTCTCAGTTTTCATCAAAGTTTTGTTCATAAAACTTTTTTTTTTTTAATATTCATATGGAAATAGCCAGAAGTTATACTGCACATGTGGAAACATAGAAATTCCTCCCTTTCCGCTAACTGTGCTGTTGCTATCTGTCTGGATGGCTTCGTGCTTACACACAAAGAAAACTTACTGACAGTGTGAGACATTCTGTTCAACTGTATATGCTAGGGATGAATACTTAAAACCAAGGATTTAGATACCCAAAAAGTATACATAACATGGAGAAGTCTTAAGAATTAATTATATGAAATTTCTTAGAATAAAAATCTGCCTATGTTAGTCAAAAGCTTAGGGTTGTGCTCCATGCATGAATACATATATAATCACAGATTTGTTCATCATTAAATCCCCTTGCAATAAAACACGCTGCACATCAACAGACCTCACTTGTTCTGGGCTAAGACACTGAGAAAAGAATCCCTAAAACTAACCAGGTGTTGTCAAGCTGGACCACAGGACAGGTAGTCTGTCTCCCAGTGTAAATATGTTTTTTATGAAATGCTAGAGATTAATTATAACCTGTGCTGTGAACACAGCATGTGGACATGCATTAACCAGTTCTTAAAATATATCCTACAACTGACAATGTTGTAATAGTCTGAAGTGTTCTGCAGCACCTCAAGAAGATTGCCACATGCATTTATTCTCATTGCCATGCTTGAACCTACCTCCTTTGATATGTGTCAAGCATTGCTCTCAGAAGTCACAATATCAGCAGAATTATAGAATGGTTTGGGTTGGAAGGGATCTTAAAGACCATCTAGTTCCAAACCCCTGCCATGGGCAGGGACACCTCTCACTAGACCAGGTTGCCCAAAGTCCCATCCAGTCCGGCCTTGATCATTTCCAAGGATGGGGCAGCCCCTGCTTCTCTGGGCAACCTGTTTCAGTGCCTCATGACCTTCACAGCAAAGAATTTTAGCCTAATATCTAATGTAAACCTACTCTCTTTTAGTTTGAATCATTCTTCCTTGTTCAGTCACTACATGTCCTTGTAAAAAGTCCCTCTACATCTTTCTTGTAGGTTCCCTTCCTACTGGAAGGCTGCAATTACGTAACCCCAAGCCTTCTTTTTTCCAGGCTGAACAAACCCAATTCTCTCAGCCTCTTCTCTATGAGAGGGGGTCCATCCCTCTAATCATCTTGTGGCTCCTCAATGACTACAGAATTGAAATTAAACACACACACACATTTTGAAGTTGATATTTACAAAACATCTGATTTATATCACGTTGCAAATTCAGGGGAAAGTTTCTTCTCTCTATGGCATGTTAAAGTAAATTGTCTAGGAGACAAGCACTACAGGAGCTTCAACTTTGAAGTGGGCATCAAAGACAGACACAGTTTCACTATTGTGTCCGCGTTGTATGAAGGATGGGAAAAACAAAGATAGTGAACTTGTGCTCTAGAGAAACTGTAGCTGCACTTAAATGCTCT